CCGTGCCAGCTCAGGTCCGTCCGCGCGCCTCTCCAGGCCCCGCCGCCCCTTTGGCTGCGGAAGAGTGGGGCTCTGGCCCCAGCCTGCGTGCCAACCCCCGCGCTCCTGGACGAGCCGGCGCTCGCAGCACTCAGGTCGCCAGGCTCCAGTGCCCGATCACCATGCACTGCCACGCGGAACTGAGGCTGAGCTCACCCGGCCAGCTCAAAGCAGCCAGGCGGCGCTACAAGACTTTCATGATCGATGAGATCCTCTCCAAGGAGACCTGCGACTACTTTGAGAAACTTTCCCTCTACTCTGTGTGCCCATCGCTGGTGGTGCGACCCAAGCCCCTGCACTCTTGTACCGGTAAGACAATCGCTGGGAGATAGTGGGCTGTGGTACTTTCGCCCTTGTGCGGTCGCCTCTGCTTTCCAACCTGAGAGCGAGAGGGACCAAGGGATTCTTTTCCTGCGTCCTTGCAAGGAGAACAAACTCGCCAGCGGCGGACATTCAAAAGCGAAGCGTTTGCAACCCTCCCGGGCAGGTACCGCTCCCTGGATGGGAGATAAGTTAAGACCAAGCGGCCCTTGGAGTGGGGCGCCTTTATAGCACCCCGTCCTGCTTGGAGAAAGCTCCCTCCTTCCTGGCGCTATGGAGTTCCAATGAGAAACTTCAAAACACTTGACCAGATTCGGTGCGGTGCCTAGGTAGTTTCGCGCAGTGAGTTTGTATGTTTCAACTTGAACTTGGTCTTACCCTTAATGCCCGACTTATGTCTCCTTTGTAATTTTACAAGTAAATCGGTTTCCTGGGCTTCAAAACAAACTACTGGATCCGCCGAACTGTATTTAAAATGACCTCTCTCTAGGGAAGTAGTTTTGGACTATGCTGCGTTTTGACACAAACAGAGGATCAACCCCTTGTTTGTTTTAAGTGACTAAAACTAACACTAGTAACAGTAAAAACAGCCTTCCAACCTGATTTCCTCTCTCCACAAAAGCTAGACCAAAAGGAAAGAGACAGAATTTAGTAATAATATTGAAAAAGTAGTTGTGTAGGAAACCAATCCAAAGACGTTTAAAACACTTTTGAGTGCCGTGAGAGAAGCTCCGGATCTCAAAGTTTCCTGGCATGGTAGGGATTCAGGCTACAAAAACCGTGGATGTAGCTAAAAAAAGGGTTGAAGAAAAAAATTTTTTTCAAAGAAGTTCTTGACCATACTTTCTATTAAAAGCAAACACTTAGTGCTTCCACGCGAGAGGGGCCTTTGGCGTTATACTTGTTGTGTAGATGCCATGAAGCAAGTTCATGAAATTATATTTTGAAAAATCGAAGCGTGTGCTCGCAGTGGTTCTTGACTACTTATTATGAGAACTATCTGGAATAAAAAGCTGCTAAATATAATGTTTAGAATCCTATTTCTCCCTTGCTTCTATCGACAGTCTGGCTAAACATGTCACTAAATCTGTAATAAATGTACCAAGGTCTTTGCAAAAGCAAGATATTCCTACATTTATTTGGCTACAAAATGAATATTACAGGTTTTGTCAGCAAGGTAGAATTACATCTGATGTCCCATAATAAGCCTCGTAATACTGAATTTTACAAACAAGGAAATAATAAGATACATAAAGGGGATTTTAGAAACACAGGGGATACCCATCATGTTGATACTCTTACTTTTGTGTGTCTGCTGCAAGTGGTGCCTAACATGGTGAGTAGTCTGTGAATATGCCAGGCTGGGATAAGTAGGCTAAATCTTCTCCTGAGAACATCTATTTGCTACAATAATGCAAATCTTAGAGGATTTGATTCCGGGCAAATCCCAGTGCACCCTATTCAGTCACTGCCCAGGAGAGAGGCTCCAGGGAGGAAAACAATGTTCCTAAAGACCTAGGGGTCCCTTAGTACCTGCTGACTTTCAGGGCCTCTGCCATGATTCTGAGGCAGGTTTTCATGGTTCGCAGGAGTCACAGAATTGGGTCATGCAAAAAAACATGCTGGAAAAAGGGGGTAGGGGAAGCCCAGAAAACTGTCATGCAGTCAGTCTAGGCTGAGTAAGTTCCATGATTTACTGAACTTTATGGGAAATAAAACAGAGAAAAGTCTAACGATTCAAAGGCAGTTTTGGGAGTGTTAAACGTGCGTTGACAGACATGGTAGGCCAGTCCTATGTTCCAAGGAGTTCTTTGGTGGTTTGTGCCAGGAGGGGTTACTGGCAGTGGTTTTCTTGCCTTTTTCCATTCTTCCTTTGGATTGTTCCTTTCAGAATGTGTCTTGATTTTGCTCTAGTTGAGACTTAAAATATAGAAAGTAGGATTTGCTAGTGGAATTAAACTCATAAAAACTGGCAACAACAGTTCATATTTTCAGATCCTAAGCCTTCAGTGGGTTTACAATTTCAGTGGAAGTCTTACATGTAAGATCACGGGAAACCCATTAGTGACTTCTCTGGGGTTTCATGCTTTCAAAGCCTTTTCATACTTTTTAAGTGTCAAATACAGACTCAAGAATCTTAGCTAGGGTAAGCACAATCTTTTAAAAATTAATGAGAAATAAAAATCATAAGTTGCTGTTATCTATAATGAAACAGTAACTTATCTTTCTGGATAGAGAGAGATATTTAGCATGTATGGCAGGAGCAATGTACAAGAAATTCACAGTAAGTGAAAATTTATACTGGAATTAAAGTTACCAAATCTTCTCATCTTTCATTTTGCCCATGTCCACCAGCTTAAATAACTGCAACAGAAGTGAACTTTGCCAGGCAAAACACTGAAAACTAAGACTAAAATGTTCTTCCCAATTGACTTACCAGCATGCATAATAACCACATAGGATAGGGGCAGAACAAAAGCCACATTTAAAAGACTTCTACCTAATTAAGCAGTCCTTGTTGCTAGATTTAGTAATCCAGGTAGCAATGCATGATATCAAATCTCCTCAGGCAGATGAGTCTGTGTTTAAGTAAACAGAGGAATGGAAATCTTTTTCATTAGGCAGATAATCACCTGGAAATCATTTATTACTAAACATTTTCCCCTTGATGGAATGAATACTCATCATCAAAAAGTATTGTTTATTTCAACAGGCCCTTTATTGAAAACACAATAATTTTACTCTTTGAGAGTGGTCTCTAAATGCTGTTTTCCAGTAGTTCCCCCTAAACCACCTTAATAGATGCTAAGGAGAATCCTTCTCTTTAAGCTAAACTAAAGAAAAGTTTATCATTGATCTAAAGAAAGCCTCCATTTAAACAAAGTTTACTGTTCGCACTGTCAGTGTGGTAGACAGTATTTTTTGACTTACTTGTGTATGTGACCCGTAGCTCTTCTCTTTAAATCTGATAACAGTAATCCTCACACAGAACCAAATATATTGCCAGTTGGAAGTCAGTAATCATCTCTCAAATATTAGAATGGAGGAGGTGATCCAAAGTTTACCCAAACAAGTTGCACTTTATGAGTTTATAAATATAATAAAACTTTTGGGGTGTGTTGCTGTTGTCTATTTTGGATCATCATTAACTGTTTTTGACAGAAAGTTGCTTGAATAGAACTGACCTCTCACATAGACTAGATTGTAAAGCTGTTGGCACTGGAATTTTTGAAAACTTTGCCTCTGGGTTTACATTTTTAGAGACGGTCAGAGTTTCTAAATTTGGGGAATGTTCGGAGAAAACAGATGACTTGTTCCACAAACACAAACGTGCAACAGCTCACCCTACGGGTTTTCCTGCAAGGCTATTGATAAACATACCTACGGTATTAATTACTTATAATTTATTGTTGCTATTTAAAATGAGCTTACAGTTCCATTTGCTCATCTCAGGGAAGAGAATGCAGACATTTGGACACTTTATGGCTTGTGGCTTTCAATTATTCTAGTACAATCTGTAGTCTAGCTCCTTTTCCCCCTCTCGGACAGGATGGTTCTGCTGAATCTATCCATGACCTTCAGTGTCAATCCTTTAGGTCTGGCCATAGCTTTGGAGATGACAGGCAGGATGAGAGAAGACAATCTACCCAAGTGGAAGATATCCATCTATCTGTCTGTCTGTCTGTGTATGTATGTATGTATGTATGTATGTATGTATGTATGTATGTATTTTTTGCAGAGTCACAGCATCACATTGGGTTTCAACATAGTTCAATCCACTTTTTACACTGTTGCCCTTGTCAGGATTCTCAGAAATCAGGAAGACTGTTGTATCTTGGTTACACACCCTGGATAAACTCATGCAGTCACACCCAGGGGACAGTCAACCAATTAAAAGGGGCATTTGGGACAGGCTGATTATCTTAGGAGTTGGCATTGAGAACATTTTATCCTCTGGTGGGTCCATGAGAAACAAGTTCTTTGGGGTGGTGTCCTTGAGCACATTTTTCACAAAGACCGAGTGTCACTCTGTGAAAAGTTAACTAAGGCCCAGACATGCACGACTCTTGCCGCTTTAGAGAGCCAGCAAGTGCTTTATGAAGTTCCCCAAACCTCAGCTCTTTTAGTTGGAGACCAAGTCCTGTAGCATATTGGGAACTTGAGAATTGGACCCTGGAATGTTAATGGAGAAACGGAAACCAGGGTCTGGGAAAATGATCATTATCAATGCTGCCAGAGGCAAGCAGGCTTTTATTAGCAATTACTCACACCAGTTTCTCCTATTCCCATTTGAAAGGTGAACACACTGAGGGACATACAGCATCGGGACTTGCTCAGGGTCAGAATATATTTGAGTTATCACCTCTTGAGTTTTATAATTTCTCTTTAAAGAAATTAAATTGAGACACTGAGGGGTTCCTTAGGAATTGGATATAAGAGCTTATGAATTGTTTACTAACAAAGTCTCTGCTGCTACCGATTTTCCTAACTGCAGATGGAAAAAAGATCAGAAATTCTGTTCAGAGTTAAAATGCTTCTTCTAATGCTACAATCCTTTATATATCACTGAATTCAAGTTCAATTAAACAAATATTTATATTTGCTTGGAATACACACACACACACACACACACACACACACACACACACACACACACACAAAAGACACATACATATATGCAGGCTATTTATTCTTGGAAATAGAAGACAGAATTTATAATGCCAGGTATAGATACTAAAAAGTTAATTTTAGCACATTGCAGATTTTCCAGCAGCCTATATGAGAAGCAGTAAAAATTGAATATGGTTGTTTAAATTGTAAAGAGACATTAGAAAGAAAAAAAAGAAGGTAATAGAGAAAAAGAGAGTGGATTTCTGTGAAATCTTGAGGCCGCTCAGGTTCAACCTTATATCGCAGGATATGTTGGAACATTTTGTTGTACAGACCAAATAAAGGTGGCTTCTGAAATCACTGTCCACAGACAATAA